TACCAGAAGACAGTGGAGACTACAGCTGTGTGTGTGGAGACCAGAAGACCACATCCAGCCTCAAGATCAAGGGTAGGAGGATTTGTGATTTGTACGCGTTCAGTATCGTAAGATTTGGCTTCGTAATACTGTAATGTCTCTCATATTTTGTGTTTTAGCTTTTTTATTTTAAAATGTTGTCACTATGTGTCACTTTTGTACTTAAAAATGTTAAGTTGATTTAATTGGAGGAATAATTGTGTGAAACTTGTATCATTAATTGTATAAAGCTGTATTATACAGATTTTGTTTTGGCTGAAGCACTTATATTGCAGCACTGCTTTTGCTTTGACATTTCGCTGCTGTCTCTTGGTGTTTTGTTGTTTGTGTCTGTTTGCTGGCTGATGCCAGCATTCTTGTTGGTGTCTTATTTGAAATCCATTTCCCTCACATCGTAGCGGATCAACAGGTTGAACGTCTTTGCTTGAATCGCTCGTCTGCAGCTTCTCTGTGATGTGACAGTCTGAATGTTCATATTTTCCTAACAACATTTCACATCACTTCTTGGACGTTTTTTTTTATTGAACATTTCAGGGTTCAAAACAAACAAGAGTCTTCTTTTTCACTTGTTGTATTTTGTGTGTCTTGTGTCTATTGTTGGTACTGTTGGGCGTGGAAAATGTACTGTGTGTATGCTGGTCCATGAGCTTCTCTTACCTGCAGCATGTAATCAGCTAGTCCTCATTCATGTTGTATTGGAGTTGTGTTTTATGATATTGAATCGTTCCTGAATCTGCTCTGTGAACCATGTTTTCAGGTGATATTTAGTTTCCAGTTGGTGTGGTAAGGTAAATGATAAAGGATGTTACAGCAGACTGAATTTAGATTATTTCCTCTCAGCTGTGACGCTATCAGCTCCTCCATCAGCTGCTAAAATGGAATCTAAGAGGCAGGAGACCAAAGAAAAAGTGGAAGGTATGAAGGGAAGATGGCGATGTTCTAGCTTGACTTTCAGCTTTACGTGCTCTGTCCATCTTGATAACGCCAGTTGTGTTGCTATGTGCAGTCTTCGCTTAAATTGTGTTGTATCTTGCATTCTATACACTTTGATGGATGTATTTTTTCCGTTTCTTCACCGGTTTACCAGATTTTTTTTCAGTCTGCGGTTTGGTGTGCTTCTGATTTGTCTCTTCTGTCTTAAAGTAGGTTTTTTTACTCGTGTCCCGTCTGTATTTCTGCCGGTTTAAGAATGATACCTGTTGTTGGCTGGAGTTCACATGTCTATAGTTTATTTGTGTATGTTTCGTTGTTCTAAATGCATTCACTGACGGTCTGCCTTAAATGGGTCATTGTACTTTAGACAGTTTTTCTTGATCCATATCATATTTGCATTTCAGGCAAGATGCCTGAATTTCCACCCAAAGATGCTAAAGACACGCACAAGAGGCAAGAGATAAATGAGATAGTGGAAGGTAATTGTTTTTGGAGATTCTCGGCTTGTTTGTTTGTAATGCACATTTGTAATTAATCAGTTTGTGCAACGCAACTCTTTGGTGAATCATTTGAAGGACTTGAAACCTCGTCAGTAACGCCTGGCTGCTGATCGGAGTTATCAAATGGAAACGTGACGAGTCGTGTCTTATGTGGTGTCTTGTTGCCTTCAGGCTACACGTGTGTTTGGCCTCGCTTTCTGTTTTTGGCGTAACCTGCTCATTTAACTGCTGGTAAATGTGTTGATTTTTCTCACCTGTTAAATGTCAGCATCTTTTTCGTGGCTTGTTGATACCGAAACAAACGACCATTTCAGTCTGAGCGTCTGTGGACTCTTTGGTTATTCTGTCGCATGGAGGCTGACTGTCGGTACGAGGGCATATTTGATCCTATCTGTTGTCTTTTTGTTGTGATGAGACTTGAGTGTTAACATGTGAGCGGTACTTTTCTGCGGCAAGTCCAATGCTGTGTTCAATCGTTGTAGCTGTGACGCTGCCCACTACTGGACAAACTCCAAAGCAGCAGCTACTCAGAGAAGAGGCTGAGAGAGATTCAAAAGGCCTTAAAGTGGACGGTGAAGGTAATGAGACACATGTTTGCATGGTTTTCGTTGGAGACTGTGACATCTGTCAGTGCTGTCGACGGTCATTTGAGTCTTGTGGAACAAAGTGTGTTGGGAGATGGCAGTTCAGTTCATAGCAAGGGCGGCTTGTGTGTTCTTGTGAGCTCTCCTGCGTGATGCTCCCATGTCAGTTGAATTCTGTCTTGTGCTAAACTTATATGTCTGTTTCAATGATTTGTTCTCCAGTTCGGTGTTGAACAGCAGTCATTGTGTTGCTACTGTTTTGAATTGTTGTACGATGATCTGTGAGAAGCTTTAATTCTCATTAAACATTGCTTCATTGATTTTGATAGATTTGTAATTGCTTCCTGTTCTCACCGACCGGTATATTTCCTTCAAGGATATTTCTCAGTGTTGTTATGATGTTGTAAGCAGGCGACAGTGGTGTGTTGTTCGTGTGCTTTACTGGCTCTGGTCGGCTGTTGTGTCTTCAGGTTATAGAACTCGTCTTTGTATGGTTGTGAGGTTAATGTTGCGTTTTATCCCAGCTGAGAAGACGGTTGCTGGCTCAGCTGGAAAACAAGATATCCAGAGGCAGGGGACCAAAGAGCCGGGAGCAGGTATGCAAGGATTTTACCTCTTTATGGACGTCCTGCTTCCTCGCTGTACATTCTTTCCTGCATTCCTCTCTGTTTGTCTTTGTGTTGCCACATGCAGATGTTCTTGCTCAAAGTCTATTCCTTGTTTTTATGATGCATCTTGTTACGTGTTTGGCTGTAGCTTGTCAGTGTTATTAGTTTTTATGAAGTGAAAAGATTAAATTAACAGAAAAAAAATCCAACAATAAGTTTGATCTACTTTACTCTACTACAGAGGTAACTACAGATGTTTTTCCTCAGGAGAAAACTCTGAATCAAGCAGTTATTTTGCAGATGATTTTTCACTTCGACTGAGCACTTGGTTTAAAAAAATTACCAGTTTTGTCATTTGAATACAGTTTTTGATGCCCTTCTCACCTTTATTATGTTACAATTATAGGAAGCGATGGTAAAATGTTGAGTTATATTGAGTATTTCTTCCTGGCTTGCTTTGCATCTTTTTTCAGACGTCCTGTCTTACATGCTGCAGTTCAGTGTTTCCTTTATTTGACTGTGCTTCTCATGATGTCGGTGGTTGAAGCATGTTGGTTTGTGAGACATGCAGCATATTGTGGTTTGTGACCCAGTTCTTGGGTTTGTATATTGTCCTGTCACGTCTGTTTTAAAGCTCGGTTTACGGTTCAGTGATTGCAATTTCTTTTGATAATTCCAGCCATGTGGAAGATGAGTAATACAGTTATCTTAGACATTTATTGATCAAATGCGTCTTGGATTAACGCACTTCAGTGTAAAATGGGATCTGTGCTTGATGGGCCTGTGAGTGGCATCTTCCCATGTGGTGATGTTGCAGATAAAATTCTTGGTCATGGCACTGTCTGTACATTTTTAAAGAGACTGCTTCTCCAACTGTTTGCATGTGTATCAATCTTGAAACCTGTCGTATGGAGCTTTTCCACGATCAGTGGAAGCAGTAGAAATCAAGTGAAGATGGTGCTGTGTTGTCTTGTGGATTTGTGGCACGTTGCTTTCTTTTGCCAAGTTAAAGCTCCAGTTTATGTGAGCTGATTTAAAACCTACACTTGTATCCATAAATAACTGCAGTTGCCGTAGAGACGTCGGCAACATCAGCAGTGACCTCCAAAGCTGAAGCTGAGAAACAGGAATCCAGAAAGAAAGTTGAAGGTATGTGCTGGTGTTAGAGAGAAACAGGTTCTGTTTGTGCTGTAGGTGATCTCATATGTTAAACACTCTGAATGTCCTGTGTGTTGAGAGTCATCAGTGTGGCTCATTTCTTCTTGTTTGTTGATATGTTGGAGGCTGAGAAACTGTATCGCTCGTAGAGGATCGTCAGGAAACAAACTGGTGAAAGGTGGCACTTTCTACAACCAATTTAAATTCCAAACTCTGTGCAGAACCTCCTCCAGGGCAGATTAGCCGTGCAGCATAAGTTGTAATGGTGATCCAGCGGGTGAATAGAGGGCCGTGTTCGTGACACATAAAAACCTGTCTTCGGGATCGATGACCCCTCCGTAACCCATTAGTCTTGCTTTGTAGTACAAGCCTCTGTATTAGTTCTGCACTGTGTTTATCAGAGTGGGTCTTTAAGGTCTAACTCGATCAGTTGCTTCCTGCAGAAAAACAGAAGCCTGCTGGTTCTGAAGTCACGCCAATGCCACAGCCTGCAGAGCTGGACGCCAAAGTGAAAGGACACGGTAGAACTTCTGTGGCGCCTGTGCACTGTTTATTCCTGTTATTACTGTTGTGTTTTTAATTTGGATCTCTGTGTTGTGTGTATCCAGCCTGATTGGATGTTGCTTCCTGTAAATATTTGCTCTATTTTGGTTTGTTGACGTCCTAACTTTGGAGTAATTTAGGCCTGTGATTGACGGACTTTTGAAATGCTTGGCTACTGTTTTGAAAGGCACATGCCATCTTCCTCTCAGTCTTGGTGTGACAACAAGCAGGTGTTCTTGCTCGAATACTGTTCCTTGTTTTTTAGGATGCCTTTCGATCTGTGTTTTGGCTGTAGCTTGTCTCCGTGACTTTTATTCCATTTATTATTTTGTATTAAATGGATTTTTGAGGTTAAATCAATAGAACAGTGGGCCTGTGGGTGCCGTCCTCCTACGTTGTGATGTTGGTTTCCTGAGCATAGAAGAAACAGCTTCTGGTCATGTCTCTACGTTGTGCAAGTTCTTTTCCTACACATTGCATGAGTGTGTGTAAAACTAAAGGGCTTTTACATGTTTACTCTTCGTGGAAACCGTGGAAATCAAGTGAAGATGGTGCTGCGTTTTCTTGGACTGTGTGGCTTTGATTTTGATTGATTTTTAAGATTGAATTAAGAGAAGAAAATCCAAGAATGAACAAAGTAAAAGTACTTTGTTTGAATGGGTTTGTTTCTACAGATGTAACTACGGATGTTTATCCTCAGGAGAAAACGAACTCCAGTAGTTATTTTGGTGACTGTTTTCACTTCTGCTGAGGTTTGAAATGGTAACAGTATTGTCATCTGAATACAGTTTTCAACACCCTTCTCACCCCGTCCTGTGGATTTAAAACATTTGTGCATGTCGCTTTTGATTTTAAGCATCGTTCAGTCTGTCGGTCCCGTTAAAGTTCCAGTTTATGTGAGCTGAACTAAAACCTACACTTGTATCTGTGAATGACTGCAGCTGCCGTNTACCAGAAGACAGTGGAGACTACAGCTGTGTGTGTGGAGACCAGAAGACCACATCCAGCCTCAAGATCAAGGGTAGGAGGATTTGTGATTTGTACGCGTTCAGTATCGTAAGATTTGGCTTCGTAATACTGTAATGTCTCTCATATTTTGTGTTTTAGCTTTTTTATTTTAAAATGTTGTCACTATGTGTCACTTTTGTACTTAAAAATGTTAAGTTGATTTAATTGGAGGAATAATTGTGTGAAACTTGTATCATTAATTGTATAAAGCTGTATTATACAGATTTTGTTTTGGCTGAAGCACTTATATTGCAGCACTGCTTTTGCTTTGACATTTCGCTGCTGTCTCTTGGTGTTTTGTTGTTTGTGTCTGTTTGCTGGCTGATGCCAGCATTCTTGTTGGTGTCTTATTTGAAATCCATTTCCCTCACATCGTAGCGGATCAACAGGTTGAACGTCTTTGCTTGAATCGCTCGTCTGCAGCTTCTCTGTGATGTGACAGTCTGAATGTTCATATTTTCCTAACAACATTTCACATCACTTCTTGGACGTTTTTTTTTATTGAACATTTCAGGGTTCAAAACAAACAAGAGTCTTCTTTTTCACTTGTTGTATTTTGTGTGTCTTGTGTCTATTGTTGGTACTGTTGGGCGTGGAAAATGTACTGTGTGTATGCTGGTCCATGAGCTTCTCTTACCTGCAGCATGTAATCAGCTAGTCCTCATTCATGTTGTATTGGAGTTGTGTTTTATGATATTGAATCGTTCCTGAATCTGCTCTGTGAACCATGTTTTCAGGTGATATTTAGTTTCCAGTTGGTGTGGTAAGGTAAATGATAAAGGATGTTACAGCAGACTGAATTTAGATTATTTCCTCTCAGCTGTGACGCTATCAGCTCCTCCATCAGCTGCTAAAATGGAATCTAAGAGGCAGGAGACCAAAGAAAAAGTGGAAGGTATGAAGGGAAGATGGCGATGTTCTAGCTTGACTTTCAGCTTTACGTGCTCTGTCCATCTTGATAACGCCAGTTGTGTTGCTATGTGCAGTCTTCGCTTAAATTGTGTTGTATCTTGCATTCTATACACTTTGATGGATGTATTTTTTCCGTTTCTTCACCGGTTTACCAGATTTTTTTTCAGTCTGCGGTTTGGTGTGCTTCTGATTTGTCTCTTCTGTCTTAAAGTAGGTTTTTTTACTCGTGTCCCGTCTGTATTTCTGCCGGTTTAAGAATGATACCTGTTGTTGGCTGGAGTTCACATGTCTATAGTTTATTTGTGTATGTTTCGTTGTTCTAAATGCATTCACTGACGGTCTGCCTTAAATGGGTCATTGTACTTTAGACAGTTTTTCTTGATCCATATCATATTTGCATTTCAGGCAAGATGCCTGAATTTCCACCCAAAGATGCTAAAGACACGCACAAGAGGCAAGAGATAAATGAGATAGTGGAAGGTAATTGTTTTTGGAGATTCTCGGCTTGTTTGTTTGTAATGCACATTTGTAATTAATCAGTTTGTGCAACGCAACTCTTTGGTGAATCATTTGAAGGACTTGAAACCTCGTCAGTAACGCCTGGCTGCTGATCGGAGTTATCAAATGGAAACGTGACGAGTCGTGTCTTATGTGGTGTCTTGTTGCCTTCAGGCTACACGTGTGTTTGGCCTCGCTTTCTGTTTTTGGCGTAACCTGCTCATTTAACTGCTGGTAAATGTGTTGATTTTTCTCACCTGTTAAATGTCAGCATCTTTTTCGTGGCTTGTTGATACCGAAACAAACGACCATTTCAGTCTGAGCGTCTGTGGACTCTTTGGTTATTCTGTCGCATGGAGGCTGACTGTCGGTACGAGGGCATATTTGATCCTATCTGTTGTCTTTTTGTTGTGATGAGACTTGAGTGTTAACATGTGAGCGGTACTTTTCTGCGGCAAGTCCAATGCTGTGTTCAATCGTTGTAGCTGTGACGCTGCCCACTACTGGACAAACTCCAAAGCAGCAGCTACTCAGAGAAGAGGCTGAGAGAGATTCAAAAGGCCTTAAAGTGGACGGTGAAGGTAATGAGACACATGTTTGCATGGTTTTCGTTGGAGACTGTGACATCTGTCAGTGCTGTCGACGGTCATTTGAGTCTTGTGGAACAAAGTGTGTTGGGAGATGGCAGTTCAGTTCATAGCAAGGGCGGCTTGTGTGTTCTTGTGAGCTCTCCTGCGTGATGCTCCCATGTCAGTTGAATTCTGTCTTGTGCTAAACTTATATGTCTGTTTCAATGATTTGTTCTCCAGTTCGGTGTTGAACAGCAGTCATTGTGTTGCTACTGTTTTGAATTGTTGTACGATGATCTGTGAGAAGCTTTAATTCTCATTAAACATTGCTTCATTGATTTTGATAGATTTGTAATTGCTTCCTGTTCTCACCCACATTTACTGTATGGACGCCGGTATATTTCCTTCAAGGATATTTCTCAGTGTTGTTATAATGTTGTAAGCAGGTGACAGTGGTGTGTTGTTCGTGTGCTTTACTGGCTCTGGTCGGCTGTTGTGTCTTCAGGTTATAGAACTCGTCTTTGTATGGTTGTGAGGTTAATGTTGCGTTTTATCCCAGCTGAGAAGACGGTTGCTGGCTCAGCTGGAAAACAAGATATCCAGAGGCAGGGGACCAAAGAGCCGGGAGCAGGTATGCAAGGATTTTACCTCTTTATGGACGTCCTGCTTCCTCGCTGTACATTCTTTCCTGCATTCCTCTCTGTTTGTCTTTGTGTTGCCACATGCAGATGTTCTTGCTCAAAGTCTATTCCTTGTTTTTATGATGCATCTTGTTACGTGTTTGGCTGTAGCTTGTCAGTGTTATTAGTTTTTATGAAGTGAAAAGATTAAATTAACAGAAAAAAAATCCAACAATAAGTTTGATCTACTTTACTCTACTACAGAGGTAACTACAGATGTTTTTCCTCAGGAGAAAACTCTGAATCAAGCAGTTATTTTGCAGATGATTTTTCACTTCGACTGAGCACTTGGTTTAAAAAAATTACCAGTTTTGTCATTTGAATACAGTTTTTGATGCCCTTCTCACCTTTATTATGTTACAATTATAGGAAGCGATGGTAAAATGTTGAGTTATATTGAGTATTTCTTCCTGGCTTGCTTTGCATCTTTTTTCAGACGTCCTGTCTTACATGCTGCAGTTCAGTGTTTCCTTTATTTGACTGTGCTTCTCATGATGTCGGTGGTTGAAGCATGTTGGTTTGTGAGACATGCAGCATATTGTGGTTTGTGACCCAGTTCTTGGGTTTGTATATTGTCCTGTCACGTCTGTTTTAAAGCTCGGTTTACGGTTCAGTGATTGCAATTTCTTTTGATAATTCCAGCCATGTGGAAGATGAGTAATACAGTTATCTTAGACATTTATTGATCAAATGCGTCTTGGATTAACGCACTTCAGTGTAAAATGGGATCTGTGCTTGATGGGCCTGTGAGTGGCATCTTCCCATGTGGTGATGTTGCAGATAAAATTCTTGGTCATGGCACTGTCTGTACATTTTTAAAGAGACTGCTTCTCCAACTGTTTGCATGTGTATCAATCTTGAAACCTGTCGTATGGAGCTTTTCCACGATCAGTGGAAGCAGTAGAAATCAAGTGAAGATGGTGCTGTGTTGTCTTGTGGATTTGTGGCACGTTGCTTTCTTTTGCCAAGTTAAAGCTCCAGTTTATGTGAGCTGATTTAAAACCTACACTTGTATCCATAAATAACTGCAGTTGCCGTAGAGACGTCGGCAACATCAGCAGTGACCTCCAAAGCTGAAGCTGAGAAACAGGAATCCAGAAAGAAAGTTGAAGGTATGTGCTGGTGTTAGAGAGAAACAGGTTCTGTTTGTGCTGTAGGTGATCTCATATGTTAAACACTCTGAATGTCCTGTGTGTTGAGAGTCATCAGTGTGGCTCATTTCTTCTTGTTTGCTGATATGTTGGAGGCTGAGAAACTGTATCGCTCGTAGAGGATCGTCAGGAAACAAACTGGTGAAAGGTGGCACTTTCTACAACCAATTTAAATTCCAAACTCTGTGCAGAACCTCCTCCAGGGCAGATTAGCCGTGCAGCATAAGTTGTAATGGTGATCCAGCGGGTGAATAGAGGGCCGTGTTCGTGACACATAAAAACCTGTCTTCAGGATCGATGACCCCTCCGTAACCCATTAGTCTTGCTTTGTAGTACAAGCCTCTGCATTAGTTCTGCACTGTGTTTATCAGAGTGGGTCTTTAAGGTCTAACTCGATCAGTTGCTTCCTGCAGAAAAACAGAAGCCTGCTGGTTCTGAAGTCACGCCAATGCCACAGCCTGCAGAGCTGGACGTCAAAGTGAAAGGACAAGGTAGAACTTCTGTGGCGCCTGTGCACTGTTTATTCCTGTTATTACTGTTGTGTTTTTAATTTGGATCTCTGTGTTGTGTGTATCCAGCCTGATTGGATGTTGCTTCCTGTAAATATTTGCTCTATTTTGGTTTGTTGACGTCCTAACTTTGGAGTAATTTAGGCCTGTGATTGACGGACTTTTGAAATGCTTGGCTACTGTTTTGAAAGGCACATGCCATCTTCCTCTCAGTCTTGGTGTGACAACATGCAGGTGTTCTTGCTCGAATACTGTTCCTTGTTTTTTAGGATGCCTTTCGATCTGTGTTTTGGCTGTAGCTTGTCTCCGTGACTTTTATTCCATTTATTATTTTGTATTAAATGGATTTTTGAGGTTAAATCAATAGAACAGTGGGCCTGTGGGTGCCGTCCTCCTACGTTGTGATGTTGGTTTCCTGAGCATAGAAGAAACAGCTTCTGGTCATGTCTCTACGTTGTGCAAGTTCTTTTCCTACACATTGCATGAGTGTGTGTAAAATTAAAGGGCTTTTAAATGTTTACTCTCAGTGAAAACAGTGGAAATCAAGTGAAGATGGTGCTGCGTTTTCTTGGACTGTGTGGCTTTGATTTTGATTGATTTTTAAGATTGAATTAAGAGAAGAAAATCCAAGAATGAACAAAGTAAAAGTACTTTGTTTGAATGGGTTTGTTTCTACAGATGTAACTACGGATGTTTATCCTCAGGAGAAAACGAACTCCAGTAGTTATTTTGGTGACTGTTTTCACTTCTGCTGAGGTTTGAAATGGTAACAGTATTGTCATCTGAATACAGTTTTCAACACCCTTCTCACCCCGTCCTGTGGATTTAAAACATTTGTGCATGTCGCTTTTGATTTTAAGCATCGTTCAGTCTGTCGGTCCCGTTAAAGTTCCAGTTTATGTGAGCTGAACTAAAACCTACACTTGTATCTGTGAATGACTGCAGCTGCCGTTGAGACGTCGGCAACATCAGCAGTGACCTCCAAAGCTGAGGCTGAGAAACAGGAATCCAGAAAGAAAGTTGAAGGTATGTGCTGGTGTTACAGAGAAAAGGGAAGAGGACTTTGCGATAGCGAAGAATTCCCTGAATATTGAGGGTTTTGTCATCATTCTGACTCATTCGTTCTTGGTGGTTGATGAATTGGAAGTTGCACACTGACAGTTAATTAATTACTCGCTGTTAGTATTGTTGATGTCTGTTTGTGTAACTCCTTTGTTGGGTTGTTCATTTGAAATGCTGCTGTTATTCCCGTGTGACTGCTGCACTGTGTTTATCAGTGAGGTATTTATGTGGCATCTAGAACATGTTTGTTCCTGGTCTGCTGCTGTTTTCAGTTTGGATCTCTGTGTGCTTTGTGTTCAGCCTGACTGGATGTTGCTCACTTCTTCAAGGTCTTTTTGGTTTGTTTCTGTCCTCAAATTGGACCAGTTGAGACCTGTGTTTGATGGATTGAATGAGTGCATTGATCGCTGTACGTCGGTGTTGCTGTGAATGTATGTGTGTAAATATTAAAGCAGCCATACTTTAATATTTAATGGAGAAAAAAAAACCCTGTAGCCATTCAGGTAAGTTACACAGCAAAGTATAATCTTTACCTGCTACCAAATCTTAAAGCCTGTGGTTTACAAGAATACATATCAACATCTTATGTGATTTATTCAATCCCCAGTTCTTCCGGTCGTATTCATTAAAGACCTGGAGAGCCAAGTAGCGGAGGAAGGAGGTAGTGTCACCCTGCACTGTGAGCTTTCTAAACCTGGACTTCATGTAGAGTGGAAGAAAGGAACTGAAGTCCTGAGTTGTGGAGAAAAGTACCAGATAAAACAAACAGGACTCAGTTATGAGCTACAGATCCTTGACTTGGGACGTGGAGACACAGGAAGCTACTCGTGCTCTTCAGACGACGCAAAAAGCTCAGCATCCCTTGTAGTGAATGGTAGGATGGAGACCATCTATGTCGTGTTGACGTCTTCCATCAAGTCTTTCATCCCATCGTTTGTTTCTCGTCATCTCACGTCCATTTTAATTCTCAGTTATTTCTCTTTGTTCATCAGCTCTCCCGGTTGTTTTCACAAGAGAGCTGGAAAACCAAACAGCCGACGAGGGCGACAGTGTTACATTACACTGTGAGCTTTCTAAACCTGGTGTTCCTTTGGAGTGGAAGAAGGGACAACTTGGTCTTTGTCCTTGTGCCAAGTACGAAATTAGACAAACAGGACACCTGGCTACTTTAATAATCCATGATGTAGAAGCAGAGGATTCTGGGAGTTACACATGTGACACTGGTGACCATCAAAGCACTGCGCAGCTCGCTGTGAAGGGTATGGTTACCGCAGCCTGGTGTTTGTAGTTGAAATACTTGAGTGGCATTTTGCTTTAGCTTTATTAGATGATTGTTGATGGACTTGTGACTTGACCTGAGGGTTAAGACTTGAACCTTCCACTTCTGCCTCTCACTGTAATGCGTATGTGGAAACGCATACACATTAGTTTCCTGTAGGTAGTTGGCTAAAACATGGACCAAATTTATGGTGCGCTCATTTTTTCTCAACTTTTCTCCTCATTTCTTTGATTTCCCACAGCCCAGCCTGTCATGTTCAAAACCCACCTACAGAACCTTGAAGGGCAGGCAGGAGACTGTGCCAGTCTTATCTGTGAGACCACAAAGTCAGGAGCCAGTGTGGTCTGGAGGTGTGGTGACAGGGTGCTGACATCCAGCAGCAAGTACCAACTGAAACAGGAAGGGACGATAGTCGAGCTTGTAATCTATAAACTGCAGGGAAGTGACTCAGGAGAATACTCGTGTGATACAGGCAGCCACAAGACTTCAGCTGTCCTCACTGTGCAGGGTAGGAGTTCACTGTCTACGATTGTTCTTTTCATGCACCTGCTGGAGGCCCGTCTCCCTTCGTATCTCACCTCACCTTGTCTTATTGACCATCTCACAGAAAAACGCTTGAGCATGAAGTGCATCAACGTTACATCTAAAAACTCTGATTAGATGTTCAAGTACTACATTTCATCACCTGTGTCCTGCTTTACCCTTGGAGTTGTCACATTTACACTTTCCTGTTGGGCTTGATCGCTGATCTCATCTTTCGTGCTTGTCTTGTTTCCGTCTTCACAAACATTAACACACCCTATCCTGGTTTTCTTCACTTGGTACTCACAATAACAGCTCAGCAGAAATCTTTTCAAGCGATCAGAAACTTCACAACTTGAACTTCACGTTATGTATTTGTCAAACAGAGGTCGAGGTTACCATACTGAAATTCTTGGAGAGCTGCGTTGTATATGAGGGTGAAGATGTCCACTTTGAGTGTCTGGTTTCTCATGAGGAGACCCCTCTGGCCCAGTGGAAGCTCCAGGATGTCCCGCTGCAGAATAATGAAATGAACCTGATCAAGACCGAGGGCCGGGTGCACAGCCTCACGCTCAGAGGTGTCACTAGAGCCGACTCAGGAACAGTCACATTCACTGTGGGAAACCACACTTCTACCGCTTCTCTGACAGTGAGAGGTAAGGGAAATAATAAACTTTCATTCCTTGAAACTGTTCATCTGTTCTCTACAGTCTTCCTTATGGGACACGTTCACTTGTAGCTTTTCAACATGTTGTCAAAAACAAAAAGCATGAACGCTTGTGTTTTCACAGGACTCTGTTTCTGTTCTGACTTACTTTTCACTTTATACTGACTTGTTTATTCTTCTCACTTGTGCATTTGTAGAAAATATGCAGTTTATTGCATATTCTGTCATACTTATACAGTACGTGCACATTCACCTTTTGTTTTGTTGTTGAACTAAAACCACCTCTTACTTTATAGTTTACTGTTAAGGTAGCATATTGGTCTTGTTGATCAATATGTCTCTGTTCATTCTTTTTAACAGCACATTTTCTGCACTTGACATTGTTGTTACTGTTCTTTTTCCTCATACACTGACCATGTACTGTTATCGCAATGTTGTGATTCACAACAGTCCTGAAATGACACCTATGCTGAATCCGTTGTTGCATGTTTTCCCCCATTTCCCTCAACGTTACGTCCTGCCATTCTGTGCACTGCCTTCTGTCTAATACAGGGTTTGATTTGGGTGTTTGTGTAACAATCCTTTTGTGGTGCTCACAGATGAGCAAATCACATTCCATTGTATTGATAAAGTCGGTCATTTGTCTGAGGACAAAAGACTGAATTTATGTGATTGCTGAGGTTTCAGTGTCTTTCCTACAGCTTTAAGGTGGACAGAGTGTAGATGAAGCAGTGTCTTAACAGCTGTTTTCATGTTCTGTTTTAAGCCTCTCGATGGTATGTGAGTATTGTGAGTATAAATAACGTCGCCTTTGATTGCAGTGTGATTTGTCGTAGCCATGTTCACCACGGAAACTTTCAAAACATTCATCTTATTAAATTGGTCTTTCCGGCAGCTGCACCTGTATTATTCAAGAAGGAGCTGCAGAGTCAAGAGGCCACTGAAGGAGGCGAAGCCTCCCTGTCCTGTGAGACGTCCAGCCCTGATTGCAAGGTGACCTGGCGGAGGGACTCAACAGTACTCACCCATGGGAAGAAGTACACCATGGAGCACAGAGCCACCACTCACACTCTGGTTATACACAAACTGGCCATGGAGGATAGCGGAGAATATACCTGCGATACAGGAGACAAGAAAAGCGCTGCTACCCTGACTGTGAAAGGTAACAGAGCCCATTGTCACCTCATCTGTGTCTCTTGTCTCCGCTTGTCTTCATTCTTCCTGGAGTTCTTTTTTTATTCATCCATCCCATTATCGTGGATTGGACCAAATTATTATTTGTCTTGTATTTCACAGTTATAGAGTTGTGAGTGCAATGTCTTAATAGGGCTGATATTTACACTTTACTGGACTTCACACATAGATTAATTGTTATTTGTCTGTTATGTGGTGGAAGTCAGCATGTGTACCTTTAACACACACAGTAAATTGCTTTAAATAGAATAATATTAATAACCTAGAGCTATTGAAATTACTTGTTTTTGGAGTAGCACATGTCATTACATCCATGCTCCTGAGAGCAAACTTGAAAATGAAGTATTGAGTAAGTTAGATTCATAATGATGCTCTCTGAAAGCACTGCTGAGATCTGATCTCTGACCTCCCATCATGCCTTTCACACTCAGAGCATGTGCGCATCATCAAAGAACTCTGCGATATTACTGTGACCACTGGGCAGGATGCTGTCTTTGAGGTCGAGCTGTCACACTCGGGCGTCACCAGCGGGGAGTGGTGGCTGGGGGACAACCTCCTTCAGAATAACGATCTGAATCAAATGAGCAGCCAGGGCAGAGTGCACCGTTTGGCCCTGAAGATGGTAACCTCGGATGAATCAGGGGATGTTGCTTTCGTAGTGGGAGAGGAGAAGAGTGTGGCCTGTCTTCTGGTGGAGGATAAACCCAAAGGTAAAGGAGATGGCATGCTCACTAGAGATTATTGCTTATCATATCCATCTCCATCAAAAAACAAAAACTTTGAATTGGAAATCTACTGGCATCATCTTCATCATCACCCTAACTTTTGGCATTGTTTTATTTTTTTTGCATATATTTCATGGCATTTGTTATTAAAAGAAATGCAAAATAAATGCTGACACAAACTTAGAAGATTAACTACTTAATACTTTCAAATTGTAAATTGTGTACCTTAATATTTAATTTATTAAATGTTAATTTTACAGCAGTTTTATTCTTTGGAATGTGAGATTATTTAGTATGTAAAATGTCTTACAGTATACAGTATAAAGTGCATGCATTCTTGTATGTGTGTGTGTAGTTGATGAAATGATTAATGCCAGGCCTGTAAAGGAAGGGAACATGGTGCATATAAATGCTTCGTTTCCCACATTTACAGTGCTAATATTAGAGAAGCCGCACAACACTGTGGCATTAGAGGGTGAAACTGTCACTCTGGCCTGCACCGTCTCTGACCCCAACGCCACCATCACCTGGATCAGAAACAACGTGACCATTCAAGCAGGTCTCAAGTATGATCTGAGGAAAAACGCTGCTTTCCATCAGCTTCGCATTCACAACGTGGTGCCTGAGGACTCAGGAACGTACACCTGTGACACTGGAGATGCGCAGTGTGATGTCACGTTGACTGTGGAAGGTAATGCCACCTGTAGAAACAAGCCTCATTCCTTTTGGTCAAATTCAAGACTGGACCAAAATAGGATTGATCTGGACAACTGAAATGTTCTTGAACTTCCACTTTCCTCAACCACACACCCAGTCTGGCATCACAGCAACACTTTTGTCCTCAAGGATGTTTCTCTTGTCATCTCAACTATCTGATGCCCAACTTGCCATCTCAATATCTTATGTCAAACTGTCCCATTTTAAACTCTCACCAGGTGCCCCAGCGTTCTTCCAGAAAGAGCTCAAGAACCAGGACGCCATAGAAGGTGATGATATCACCTTGCACTGTGAGCTGTCTAAACCAGGCGTTCGTGTCGAGTGGAGGAAAGGAGGCATTGTCCTCCAGCCCGGTAAGAAGTGTGAGATGAGGCAGGAAGGGTGCATTCAGGAGCTCTGTATACGGAACCTGGAGCCTGAAGACAGTGGCTACTACACCTGTGATGCAGGAGACCAGCTCACTACAGCTTCTTTAGCAGTGCAAGGTAGCCTCCCGACAGCAGTTTTGCGCCTGTTCTCGACGAAACACTTTCCGTCAGTCTAACATGTCATTTTGTTGTGTCAGTTGAGTAATGAGTATGTTTAAAGCTCAGTGTGTGCATATGTGTATTTTTCACTCAACAGTGAAAGAAGTCTTCATTGTTTGTGGTCTTAAGACCACCGACGTCTTTGTCGGGGAATGGGCAACTTTCTCCTGCCAGCTGTCTGGTAGGGCGTCTGGCAAGGTGCAGTGGTGGCTGGATGGCACCTTGCTGGAGAACAGCCCTTTTAGTGAGATAGGGCTGAGCCAGGGCCACATCCACACGCTCACCTTAAAGAACCTGGCCACAGATGACTCTGGCACTGTCACCTTCAAAGCTGGCAGTTTAACATCAACAGCCAAGCTCTTAGTCAAAGGTATCATGTTAGAAAGATATTCACTGCAGACTGAGATAAGCAGCGTGTCAGTCTGTCATAGACCCTGCAGAATGTAAATTCTTCATTTAAAATCTTACAAACACAATATTTGTAGCTTGTTTTAAACCCAATACTTTGTTGTGTTTGCAACAATGTCCAGTTTAGCTACTGGAAATATTTAGAATAATGTTGAATAAAATAGTCGGGACAAAATGTTCTGTTTTCTACTTAATGATTAGCAATAACCAAAAGCATTGGTGCAGTTCTTCAGAAAGACTATGAGTAGACATACTATGAATTATGATTGTTTTCTGCGGGGTTCCATAAATATTTGAAGTTTATTTATGGATTACTAGCAGATATTTTAACATTTTGTACTTAATCATGCATGAGCAGCATTGTTTTGCATTTCTTTAATAATAATAACCGTAGAGTTCATGCTGTATGCTTTGATGTAATCAAAACATAC